TTGATCCCCGTCTTTCTGTTCATCCTTTCCCCAAACACTTCTCTTTACACTTGCTCTCACTCTCTATAACACCTTGCGTACTAGTGGCACCTCCACCTTGCTTGGGGGTGGGGATATGCTTAAAAATATTTCAATGGCAAAGGTAATGTTTGTTATTATACCTTCGGTTGTCCATTTTTCGTTTTTCTTCTTCAACAGTTAATTTTTTTTCTTTTTTAGCTGACGATTTTGAACATTTTATGCAATTCTCAGAAATCCTTCCATACAAACACATCTAATGGTTAGGAAGCTTGTCTCGCTAGAACAATTATGACAGTGTAGTGAGTTTGATCTTCACTGCTTCCCCCTACTTTCGGCCTTGTGTCACACGTAAGCTACGCTGTGGAAATCACCATCTGCGAAGAAATGATCACCATGCTCTTTCATATATGAGCACCGATATTACACAGCGGTTTTTCCTGTATCTTAATACTTTGTTTATCTTGTTGAAGGCATTTTTCTTCATTTCAATGCGGCTTTGGTCGTATGTGTCACATTCTTCTTCGTTTGTTATAACACTTCTTGCAGACTTAAATTTCTGTAATCGCATGATTTATTACATATCCAATTCCTAGGACGTATCTTGAAATGTTCTTTTGACCAAAGATCACGCATTCTGTTTTGGATCAGGGAAATTCCTAATTAATGACTACCTGGAAAGGGGCACGCCTTTGTTACGGTCTGAGCCCCTGCACAAAGGTGAAGAAGAATGATATACTTTTTTTGTAAACTTCGGTTGTTTAAAATGTCGATTAGTCACTTTGCTATTATGTATATGCACTACAGCCAGCTCTATATATATATTTGTAGCATAAAGTCACTGTAGTAACACAAATAGTTTTGATGCGGGAGACTGGACAATGACATTTCTTATAAGTATAAACTCAGATAATTCTACTCTATAATACTAAAGCGTAAGATTTCTCTTTTTTTATGAAAGAGGAAGTAATTTTCGAAATTGTACCAAAAGTTGCAATATGTGTTGTGTTTATTTTTGTCTATTAGTTCAGAATCGTCGCTTTCTTTCTCTATCATTTATCATTCAAAACTATTTAGCAAATTTTGCGGATAATTATATTCTTTTCATGGGCAAGGACGTATTTTTAAATTTATAAGTAAAGCATTTCGCGCTGTAACGTTAATTTATATGCTTTTTTTATTATTTATTCCAACAGAATATTTGTCGCTTATTATTTTTACTTTCCAATATTTTTAACAATAAAAATAACAAAAAAATGTTCACATATATTTGATGATCATTTTATACTTTCATTATTTTATCATTTAGTGGCTGTCTTCTAAAATAATAATAATAATAATAATAATAATAATAATGTGGTAATGTTTACTCCAAAATCCAGCGTAAAATATATGTCTGTTTATTCATGTATCTTTATATGTTTGTACCTTTGATCGTCGCTCCTTGTCGTGGTGGAGATATTTCTATAGTCCAATGACACTGGTAGCGATGTCCTCACGAGTTCTAAACTCGTGGTAGGCCCACCATTGGCGGCAAGGTCGCAGTCGAGGATCCGAAGCGCGACTAATACCAAAGACCACAATGGTGAAACAAACAGATGTCAACGGCTGAGACAGCGAACGATGAGGGCTACGCATGACGGACATGTTACAGAAGGCGCCACTTGAAATTACAACAGATTCAGCTGCAGTCCGTTGCCATTCTGTAACTGGATTTTGGGTGCCTTAAAAGAAAGTAATGAAATGTGTGTGACATTTTTTGGCAAGCTGAGGTCCACCTTAAGCAAATTCAAGCCATTGGCACTTCCTTCTGCTCTGATATTGTTTCACCTAAAACGAAAAGGGGTAAAGCTAAACGCCGATAGGGGATGGATAACGGGGGCATGTCTTGGTGAAAATGGAAGCTTCTAGTTCGGAATCTGGCATTGGTGGCGAATTTAGTCAACAACGCCATCAACATAAAGGAAGCGATCAGCAGAAAAAATTTATATTGTTGGATACGAGATAAAAGCCGACGAAAAATTACTCGGATGTATATTATAAAACAAAGTTGGTCATGGCAACATTTAACGCGTTTATTTCAAGCTCTCATAAAAAAGAGACAATTTCATACAATTAAACTGTAGAGACTAGGTGATTGTTTCGTTTTCTAAGGCTTATCAATCATTTGCAGGTTATTTAAAGCCAGAAAATATTTTACATTGTAAGCATTGTTATTTTTAAGATAATAATGATTTAGTGACACAAGTCTTACTAATTAACCCATAGGTGGATAGAGAAGAAATCGATTCATGCCTTTCCCAAGGATATTTAAGCATGAATAAAATGAACTAAACTGGAATTGGAAAATGACTCTCCATTCACAATTCCGAGCCATTATCGATTTTTCGGCTGCACTTACAAGCTTACTGCATATGATATTCTCAAACGGTTAGCCATCAAAGTAATGACAAGGCTCGACGTTGCTTAACTTCGGTAATGGTTTCACGGTAGGTGTAGACCTATATTACTAATAAGACTCTAAAGGTTTAACAAGACACATGTACATATGTATATATACATATGTGCTCTCTCTCTCTCTCTCTCTCTCTATATATATATATATATATATATATATATATATATATATATATATATGCACAACATATATAAATATATGCACAACATATATATATATATATATATATATGTGTGTGTGTGTGTGTGTGTGTGTGTACAACATATTCAGGTAACTTCTGTACGGACCACTGTTTTTTAAAAATAAAAACAAAAACACTAAAGAACTTCGGATTATTTACCTAACGTGTTCTTTCCTATTTTTCTACATATGAGACACACACACATATATTTATGTATATATATATATATATATATATATATATATATATATATATATATATATATATGTGTGTGTGTGTGTGTGTGTGAGTGGAATCAAATCATAGGTTGATGGATTCCAAATAAAATGAACACAGACGTCTTTGAAAAATAGTGTTATTTAAAATTCAGAATGAATTCTTATCCGGATAGCACCCCCATATTTGGCTGACAGGTCACGTATCCCCCAGATCTCTTACCATAGATACATCACTGTCTGGAAGCCTACACTTATGTCTAGATTCACAGGTTCGCACTTCCTCTTACCATCTTTTTTGTTCCTTATCTTTTGAACCTTCGCCTCCTATGTCCCTCCCTCTTTGTCTCTCTCTCTTTTTTTTAATTTTCTCATCCCACCCACTTTTCTTATTATTAGCTTCTTCTCTACCTACGCCCCCTTTCTCTCCCCATCCTCTTCTGTCAACAATTTCCTCTACCTTTTACACCCTCGACACTTTTCATGCACTAAATGTTAGTACATTAGTCGTTTCCATTTCCTTGTCTGTTTGCATTGTTTCTCTATGTAGGTGTATATACAAACTGGAAAAAAGTATGCAGTATTTATAGAAAGCATGCAGACTGTTTTGGGCCTGCAAAGAAACGAAGCAAAGAGGAATAAACAAATAATATTAAATAATAAATAAAAAAAAAACTGTACAACTAACTTGCCAAAAACGCAAGGAATATAAACACCAGTGTCGATTTTTAGAAATCCGCAGAAAGAGTCACTAAGTCAATGACCTAATAGCAACGAATGGGAGATATAAGGGAATGAAACAAAGACAAAGGTTAAGATAAATAATGTCGACTAGAAATCGACCAATCAATGAGTGGGAGAACAAAATGGAGGCCCAATGCTAGTGCGCATGCGCGATAAAGGAAATGCTGCTAAAAATGAACATCACAAGGCGACACGAAGAAGTGAGTTTTGAAAGGAAAAGAATAAATAAGATGTTAATAATGGATGCATTGGTGAATGAAAGAAAATAAAGAAAGAAGGAAAGAAAGAAGGAGAACAAGAAATATTGAAAGAAGTGAAGAAAATCAATAAATATTTAAAATTAAAACATAAATTAGAATAACAAAAAAATGACTAAAAATAAACGTAAATGTTTATGTGCAGATAGAAAAATTTAGTTCTTTTTTTAATGTGCCGTATCCCTTCAGGACGTAGTAGATCACGGCTCTCCACTTCCTCCTATCCCTTGTAGCTCTCACTAAGTTTCGTCCCTCTGCGAACTCCCTGAGGCCACGTTTTCTCATCCGCTTGCTTAAGCCCGCCAGGTATGTCATGTGTTGCTTTTCCTTGCCTCTCTTTCCCTTTATTCCACCTGTGAGTACCAGATTCTCCAGGCCATCCTTTCTCGTTACCTCTCCCAGAAATTTCAGCTGCCTTTTCTTGATGTTGAGTCTAAGCTTCCACTTGGATTGCATCCTCTCCAAAACCTCATCGTTGCTCACACGCTCGGTCCGTGATATCCTTAGCAGGCTTCTGTAGAACAATACCTCCGTCACCTCGAGTCTCTTCTTCATCTTTGAGGAGACCGTCCAACATTTGCTGCCGTAAATGAGGACAGATGTCCCGTAGCAGCTCAGCAAGTGAAAAATGAAAGAGACCGGTAAAGGTAATTAGTAAAGAAAGAAAGAAAGAAAGAAAGAAAGAAAGAAAGAAAGAAAACAAAACAAAAAGAAAGAAAAAAGAGGAAATGAAAGAAAGCATCAATGAAAGAAAATGAAGGTGAATATTATGCGTGGTTAATAAAAATGGTAATTAGGAAAGAAAGAAAGAAACCAAAAACGAAGAAAAAAGAAAGAAAGGAAAAAGAAAAAAGAAAGGAAGAAGGAAATAAATAAATAAAGAAAGAAAGAATGAAAAATGGAAGAAAAGAAAGGAAGAAAAGAAAGGAAGAAATAAGAAAGAACGGAAGAAAAAAGAAAGAAAGAAAGAAAGAAAGGAAAAAGAAAAAGAAAAGAAGAAGGAAAGAAAGAAAGAAAGAAAGAAAGAAAGAAAGAAAGAAAGAAAGAAAACAAAACAAAAAGAAAGAAAAAAGAGGAAATGAAAGAAAGCATCAATGAAAGAAAATGAAGGTGAATATTATGCGTGGTTAATAAAAATGGTAATTAGGAAAGAAAGAAAGAAAGAAAGAAAGAAACGAAGAAAAAAGAAAGAAAGGAAAAAGAAAAAAGAAAGGAAGAAGGAAATAAATAAATAAATAAAGAAAGAAAGAAAGAAAGAAAGAAAGAAAGAAAGAATTAAAAATGGAAGAAAAGAAAGGAAGAAAAGAAAGGAAGAACGGAAGAAATAAGAAAGAACGGAAGAAAAAAGAAAGAAAGAAAGAAAGAAAGGAAGAAAGAAAAAGAAAAGAAGACGGAAAGAAAGAAAGAAAGAAAGAAAGGAAAAAGAAAGGAAGAAGGAAATAAAGAAAGAAAGAAAAAAAGATAGGAAGAAAGAAAGGAAGAAAAGAAAGGAAGAAAAGAAAAAAGAAAGAACGGAAGAAAAAGAAAGAAAGAAAGAAAGAAAGAAAGGAAAAAGAAAAAAAAGGAAGAAGGAAATAAATAAAGAAAGAAAGAAAGGAAGAAAGGAAAAAGAAAGAAAGAAAGAAAGAAAGAAAGAAAGAAAGGAAGAAAAGAAAGGAAGAAAGAAAGAAGAATGAAAGAAAGAAAATTGAATGACAGAAAGAAGGAACGCATGAATAAAGGAAATAAGAAACAATTGATAGAAAGCAGGAACAAATCATTGTTGGAATGAGGAAAAATGATACAAAGAAGGAAAGAAGGAAAGAAAATACGAGCGATAGAATGAAATTAGAGACGAGGGAATGTATGGAGGAAGAAATAAATAAAAGAAGAAACAAATGATAGAAAGAAAAAAAATAGGGAATAAGAAATAAATGACAGAAAATAGGACGGAACGAAAGCCAGAATAAAGGAAAGAGTAAAAGAAGGAAAGAAGAAAAAAAAAGAAACAATGAAAGAAAAAAAAATGATAGAGATAATTAAAGGTCAAATATATTAAGGAAGGATAAAGTAATGAATAAATAAAGGAAAGAAGAAAGAAATCCTAGAAAGAGAGAATGAATGAATGATTGAAAAAGTAAGAGATGATACATAAAATGAATGAAAGAAAAGACAAGATTGAAAGAAAGACAGATTGATAAAAAAATGAAGGAAATAAGAAGAGGTGAATGAAAGACTGAAGGAAGAAAAATGGTCGAAGGAAGGAAGGAAGGAAAGAAGGTAAAACAAATGGAAGAAAGAATGAAAAAACGAATCGTATGAAGAAAGAGGAAACGAATAAATGCAGGAAAAGAGAAAGAGTAACAAATGTTGGAAAGAAAGAAAGAATGCAAGAAAGAAAGAATTAAAGAAAGAAAGAAGAAATTAAAGAAAATATCAGAGAGATAAAATAAGAAATAAAGAATATAGCAAGTGGAAAACAAATGATTTGGTTTGGTTTGCTTTGTTTTACGGAATATCAGCCTGAATTCGTTATTTAATGCCGACAAAATTTTTATTGCAGGTTTGGTTTGCTTTGTTTTGTTTTACGGCATATCAACCTCAATGGATTATTTAATGCCGTCAAGATTTTTATTGCTGGTTTGGTTTGCTTTGTTTTGTTTTACGGCATATCAACCTCAATGGGTTATTTAATGCCGACAAGATTTTTATTGATGGTTTGGTTTGCTTTGTTTTGTTTTACGGCATATCAACCTCAATGGGTTATTTAATGCCGATAAGATTTTATTGCTGGTTTTGGTTTGCTTTGTTTTGTTTTACGGCATATCAACCTCAATGGGTTATTTAATGCCGATAAGATTTTTTGGTTGCTGGTTTGGTTTGCTTTGTTTTTGTTTTTTGCATATCAACCTCAATGGGTTATTTAATGCCGACAAGATTTTTATTGCTGGTTTGGTTTGCTTTTTGTTTTGTTTTTTTAACTTATCAACCTCAATGGGTTATTTAATGCCGATAAGATTTTTATTGCTGGTTTGGTTTGCTTTGTTTTGTTTTACGGCATATCAACCTCAATGGGTTATTTAATGCCGTCAAGATTTTTATTGCTGGTTTGGTTTGCTTTGTTTTGTTTTACGACTTATCAACCTCAATGGGTTATTTAATGCCGATAAGATTTTTATTGCTGGTTTGGCTTGCTTTGTTTTGTTTTACGGCATATCAACCTCAATGGGTTATTTAATGCCGACAAGATTTTTTATTTCTGGCAATGTATTTCTGTAACATATTATATATATATATATATATATATATATATATATATATATATATATATATGTGTATTGCTTGTAATATTTTTACCTTCAAAATTTCATTTCTAGTAATAATCATTTTACAAAAAGTATTGCTTTATTAAAAAACCTATTTTACACTTTAATAGTGTTTTGACCTCAGTTTTTTTGGGGGTGAACTATTACCCACAGCTGGAACCCAAATAGGTGCTGCCACCCCCAGGTCATAGTGGACCTGGAATACCAGCGATTAAGTGGTGGTTCTACGCTCCTCAAAACCCTCTCTCTCTCACACACACACACACACACACACACACACACACACACACACACACACACACACACACACACACACACACACACACACACATATATATATATATATATATATATATATATATAGAGAGAGAGAGAGAGAGAGATAGAGAGAGGGGAAGAAACGAGATAAAAGAAAATGACAGTAATGACTTCACCCGTAGATTTTTTTTATCTTCAAAGATGGGATTTAAATTTTTACCGCCGAAAGAGATACAAAAGGATTTGGAAATAAAATCCTGCATACAATATAGATAACTCTGACGTTGTTGTTGTTTTTTTTTTGTATCCTTTGATCGTTTCGAAAGCAGAATGCACCAGAAACAGTGATGCAATTCAAAACGGCTTGAGAGATGTGATATGGATCTTCAATTGCATAAAAGAAAGACTTGTTAAAAATTAATATGAAATGTTTCAGTGAGACGAGTTTCTCTGATCAAATCGGACAATGACGGCTTTACATGATGACGCTTACTCAGATATCAATATCGGCGTCATTTTTCATAGTTTTGCAATTTTAATTTCATTTTCCGTACACACACCCACACACACACACACACATACACACACACACACACACTGGAGAGGATTCTTCCCAAACGCATATCAGCATATCACGAGACACTGAGATGATCAGTTTTGTTATTCGATGTTGTCAGCAGAAAGATTCCAACTTCTTTCTTTTATATATATATATATATATATATATATATATATATATATATATATATATATATAGAGAGAGAGAGAGAGAGAGAGAGAGAGAATAAGTTATATTTCGGCAAGACGTATTCATCCAAGGAAGATTGGTGAAAAAGAGCTGACATGTTCTGTCTGTATAAATTTTTATTGTATTTTTTCTATTTTCAGATAATGTTTTGAGAATTGCCCTCGGAGTACTTAAAGAAAAATGACAAAATAAGAAATTCTAACACGTTATGCACAACTTCGATCACAATAGTCAACACCTTTACCGAAAAGTGGAAGAAAAAAATCTAAAAAACAAATTAATCAGACCGAAATTTTTTTAATCATATTTGTTCGTTTTCTATATTTTATATATATATATATATATATATATATATATATATATATATATATATATATATATATATATATTGATAAACAGTAAATTCCAAATTTACCTCATATAGCCTATTTCGGCAGACGAAGATATCGGTCGTTTGTCTTTTCAACCCCGTTCTGGACTGAGTTAGTGCCTATACAGTTAGGAGGGGCGGTAAATAGAAGTCAACTGTGAAACCGAAAAAAAATTAACCTGTCGAAAAACTAATATGCATAAAAATACAGAATTTACCATTTCAGTGTTTCAGTCAGACGAAAGTGACGAGACAGGGGTCACAGGATTGTGAAAGATATTTGTTTTAAATGGAAGAATTTTTTAAAAATTGAAACCTAATATTAAACTTATGACATTAATTTGGGATTATATGAAGAATGAAATATTAATTGGAAATTAAAAGAGGAATAAAACGGCGCCAAAAATTAAATTTAAAATATATAGATAAAAGGAAGTAAGGGTTTCATTGAAAAATGGCTGGGGAGATATGACAGTCCGGGAAATCTTATAAATTATACTTTAGTGAAAAAAGTTTATAGAGTGGGAAATAAAATATAGAAATTAAAATTAGTTATAGTATCGACATTTAAAGAAATAGACGGAAGTAAATATTATGGAAATATGGTAGCTAATTAAGTTAAACCTATATTAAAGAAAATTTGAATTTGTTTTATGTCGACAGTTTAACCTGAATTCACACAAACACAAAAACACATAATATATATATATATATATATATATATATATATATATATATATATATATATATATATATATATATGCAGATATGTAGAAAATAGGAAAGAACACGTTAGGTAAATAATCCGTAGGTCTTTAGTATTTTTTTTTTTTTTTTTAAAAAACAGTGCCCCATACAGAAGTAGAACTTAAATTATATTTATTTTTAAATTATAATTATATAAAAGTATAAAATGATTCAAGACTATGATTTAAAATAATTAATATATATATATATATATATATATATATATATATATATATATATATATATATATATGACCTCATAAATCAAATATGTAAGTGCAATGTGAAATTTTATCTAATGTTTTATTGTTCTATCATTTTAATAATATTTTTTCTCACATTCTCACGCACTCAATAACGCCTTTGCGTGTTAGTGGCTTTATTGCCCTACTTGAGTGTAGGATGATATATATATATATATATATATATATATATATATATATATATATATATATATATTCAGGTAAGATAACAACGTAACATTTAATTTAAAAGAGAACTCAATACTATGTAGAGCAATATTCTTTATATATATATATATATATATATATATATATATATATATATCTTACTTATTATAAAACGCAGGTTGTGTGTGTCTGTAACGTTTATATGTTGGATCGAAATTTCCTACATTTTTTTTAGCCGATTTCAACAAAACTTCACAGGATTACATAAAATTACCTTGTGGTGGTTCTAACGGGACCGAAAATGGGAAAAATACAGTTGTTTTTTAATAAAATCAATTTGAAAACACGTGAGAATGAAAGGGGGAGAACTCACCCACGAAAATGTAAACAAAAGAGCATAGCATGATGAAAAACACGCCGAACTGACGAAAACAAAATTATATCGTCTAATGTTCATATTATTATTAAAGAGGAAAGATCAAAAGTATTTGGGGGTATTTTTTTTTTTTTAATCATTCCTAGCACGTCTGAAATTTTCGTTAAAAATATTGTTTTTTTTTTGGTCAAAAAAAGGGCAGATAATCATTTTCAATCATTTTTTCGATTTGATAAAAAGATTAAAATCTTACTTTGATATTCTTTTAAAAGTCAATTATCATTTTTTCAAAACTGATTTTAATAAAAAACAGATATTATACTGTGTATTTAAAATATTTTGAACCAAGCTTAACTTAGCTTCTGCGCCGAAAAAATGTAATTTGAAAATAAAACAAAAGCAGGTCATAACCTTTCGCGTCGCTTGACGATTGACGAAAGGCACATTCATGACGTTTAGATAACTTAACGGGAGGAGAAATTCTTTCTACGGATGGAAGGAAGTGAAATTATTTAAGTGAACAAATTATTTACCTTGTTACTTTTAA